GCTGCTGAGAGAATCCTCAGGTTGACTAGGAGACAGGAGTGAGGGAGCTGAGGTGAGGGCTCTAAAGCTACTGGGCATAAACGCACTAGAAAGATATTTGGGACTTACCTTTGGTTTGCCCCACTGGCTGGGCAAAAGCAGTGCCCAGCTAACGAAAAGAGCCTTGCTCCTGATCCCCACAACGTGGTCTTCCCCACTTTCGGCTCTCCTGTCACTGCCCACCAGGACTAAAAAGAGTAGCTGCAGGCAGCCAGATTGCCTGGGCCTAAGGGCAGGTCAGAAAAGAGAAAACACTGGAGACAGGGTCTGAGCATTGAGTCAGCCCACGGAGGGGAAGGAAAAGATCCACAGTGCTGTTTGAGAACAGCTGCAGATCCCCTAGGATTTGTTTTCCAATTAGTAACAAAGCCCATTAAGACACTCTAATAAGAGGGTTTTTCACTTAAGTGAGACTTTCCTAAATTAGGAGCCATCAGTTCTACTTTGATGGTGAATCTGTGAAATTCCACGGATTATACTGGCATAGAGCCCTCCTCCTGCAAAGAAAGGGAAGCATGGTAATATGGTGAGTCACAATCAGAAAAAAAGAGCATGCTTTATTTTCCCCATCAAAACACCTTCTTGTGTTTTTTAGTAATTTTTGGTAGTAGAGTTGGGTTTTGGACTTCAGTTTGCTCTACCAGCAAAGGGAAATTAATCTAGAGGGGAACATTGACAGAAAGTTCTCAAAAGACACTTAGAAGGTAGATGGTACCTTTTCATCAAAAGAACAAAGCAATTGCAAATAATGAAAGCATTTAAAACTAAGAAATCTCTCTTACCCTAAAAAAAATAACTCAGACTCAACAGTAGAGAATGTCACTGAGAAGACAAACTGGATGCTTACACAGATAAAGCATTTGGACATCTTTAATTAACGAAAATAGCTTAAAATTGATTTAGCCCCACATTACAAAGACTAAATCAATCTCTGTTTAGGCAGGGCAGATGACCTCACACATGCCTTCTGTGTCATTCCTGTACTTCAGCTGAGCCTTTTAGAGTTGGCCTCATGCAGGGCATGACTGTGGACAGCAGGAACACCAGCTAACTGCTGCTAATTGGCATCTCATTTTTCACCAGCACTGTCAGGTCTGGCCCATGCAACAGTTCAGTGTGGAGGATGCCCAAGAATTGTTAATGAATGGCCTTTGCAACAGGCCTGAGCATCAGAGACTGAACCTGGACCAGTGGCATCTCTCCGTAAAAAACAGATGCCTTTGTAGACACAACCACTCTGCTTTCCAAGGCAGCAGCTCTCAACATACTCTCGCACCCCTTACACACAAGTGCACATACACACCTCAAAGGTAGCTATTTAGCTGGCGCAAGGACAGTGAAACCTGTATTACGCTTTCTTCTGGAACTTCTTTCTCAAAAAAACATTCTCTGGAATGTTCTGAAAGAGCTGAAGAGGTACACAACAGTCTGCTGCAACATTTATCTACTGGCTAGGTAAGAAAATTTCACACTAAAGGTGATGAAGGATGTTGTTAATGAACCATATCCTACCTCCATCGGGGGAAAGAACTAGAACTTAAGCAGATCACACTTTGAACAGGCTCAGCACTTCAGAATTCAAACAAGAGACTGCTTCCTACAGTGACCATCTGCCCAAGCTTCAAAACACCAAATTATGTACCAGGAATCGCAGCAACACATCAAAGAAGTTGCTTTTGATCTACGCAACAGTCTTAAGAAATATCCTTCACAGAAGTGAGTTCGATGACATCTGAACCCTTGCTGTAGCTAAGTGCTCTTCCTAGGATGTAAACATCACAGCAAGCTGTTGCAGGACAGAAATTAACAGCTTGAGTATACATACAATTTCAGTCTGCAAAGCAGGAAAATCCCCACTCACCATCCTGTCCATCAAATTTGTTATTACTGTAATTACAAACTAAAGGGTTTGAATATGTTTGATATTAGAAAAAAATTCTTCCCTGTGAGGGTGCTGAGGCGCTGGCACAGGGTGCCCAGAGAAGCTGTGGCTGCCCCATCCCTGGCAGTGTTCAAGGCCAGGTTGGACACAGGGGCTTGGAGCAACCTGCTCTAGTGGAAGGTGTCCCTGCCCGTGGCAGGGGCTGGAGCTGGATGAGCCTTAAGGTCCCTTCAACCCCAACCAGTCTGGGGTTCCATGTCTTTTGGTGGCCAGCTAAATCAACTGGTCATTTGATGCTTAACAGGAGTATTATGGTCCTTTGCTTCTTGGTCTTTTCCTCTCATTGGCTCACTTGAAGAATGATGGTCTCAAGTATTGTATCATTATGGCATAGTCAAATTAGCATGAAGTACATACCCCCTATTTTTGTTTCCGCACATGCTTGCACAAATGCAGTATGAATGGTGGCACTAGAGGGAGCTCCTGCAGCATCTCCCACCTCTAAGCCCCCAGTCTGAAATCGAGATTTGCTTCTAAAATTGTGAGGGTTGGTTGATTACATATTTATTAACTTCCATGCACATGTGAGTAACATTTTCAAGCTTTCTTTCGCTGCTACAAACTCTAGAATTACCAGAACCCTTTCTGCTCCTGCCAACAGGTCCTAGTATTGTGTGAGACTTGGTCCATTACCAAAAGGTTTATGAAAAACCCAACCCAAACACTATGGATAGCTTAGTTTTAGAAAAACTGCTTGAAAAGCTGCACTGAAGTTTGAAAAATCTTCCAAATATTCAACTTTTGCCCTTCTTTTAATCAGTAACCCCCCGGCTAAGCATCTGGAATTAAAGTTACTATTTAGACTTTGAATACGTAAGAGACCTTACGGGGATAATATGCTTGTTGGGGAACTCTGGGGAAAAAAAAAAAAGACATGTACAAGATTGATGCTTTTGTTTTATGTTGTCTGCTCTTTGCTGGCAATTACTACAACTAAAGAAAAAGTGGCAGAAGCAGCTTTTTTATTTTTAGACAGACAGACATCCACAGAGATATTTATAAAACCTCCCTAGTGAAGACAAAGGGTACGCTCTCCATTTACTGCCTTGAGAATGGATTGGTTTTCAAAAGGCAAAGGTTAATAATTTCAAAATAAATAGAAGAGAGCCAGGCTTCTGTAGAAACACCATGGTCATTCTTTTGGGGCGCAAAACCATCTCAAATATCATCTACAGAGGACCTAACTGCATCAAACACTGCTACTGTATTTCATTCACAGAACTGCTCAGGACCCCAAGCTGTGGAAGAGGTCCGCCTCCAACAGGTGCCCCACAGAACAGAAACATGGCTTCATTCCTCTTACTGCTAACAGCTAAAGTAGAGCAGGCAAGCCTAATTTATGTAGATGCTAATTACACTATATATATTTACTGTATAGTTCTTTAATAAAAGGAGTACTCTGTTCTCTTAAAAAATTAAAGGCTAATTTACAAGTGACAGTAAAACTATTGCCCAGTGCTTGAGGTTTGAATAGTTCTAGACCAGTGTGCTCCCCCTCCCCAAATAGGTATACCACAAAACCATAAAATAATTCTTTCCCTTTTTGCTGGTCTGAAAATGCTTACCCAAAATGTCATGTCATGAGGAAAAACTAATGTTTTGCTCCCTTCTCCAACAAGGCCACTTAGTCCTTCTTCTGTCACTAGGAAAGACAAGTATCTGTATCAACTATCACTTTTACTCCATATTTAACTAACAACCAACTTGACTTCTTTCACTCCCCCTTGTTCACAGTAGCTATATTCTCAAAAGCTTACCAGATTTCCATCCTCTGTTGCACTGACCTCCTCAGTTTTCTGCAACGTTCTGGTGTTCCAAGACCTCCACTCTTCTCAGCACACTCTGCCTCCAAAACCTTCTCCCCAAGTTGTTTCCTCCTTTCCTAAACTCACTTCACTGGATCATTTTCAAAGTTTCAATACTTTGCTCTTCCTCAGTAATTTCCTACCTTCTCCTTTAAAAAAACCCCAAACTAACAACCAGCCACCCTATCCATCTCCTCACACTTTTTCTCTCATTATTCTTCCCTTGCCCAAGTATCCTAACTGTTACTGCCAGCTGAGTTCCATATAATTGCTATTTAATTATTAATCCATGTAATTCCATATAATTGCCATTTCTCTCCCCTCACGAATCTCACCATCTCCTCCAATAGCTTTAGTTTTCCCATCTCCATCTGTTTCTATGATTTATATCCCTTCCCTGAGCCCTTTCAGCCTGCCTGCATTGTGAATCAGGGTATCAGAATGTAGTGGTAATGTTCTTTTTCATTTAGTGTGGGGAATTCTTTTTGTTGATGTAAGCAAAGTTTGTGAAGATTGTGTGATGAATGCATGTTTTACTGAAAGCAGGGTAATGAAGCCTCCTGTACCCTCATAACCTGACTTAGAATTCTTCCCAGCATTCTGCAATTCCCAACAGAGCCCCCCAGCATCTGCCACCCTTGGCAAGAACAGCCATTAAGCAAAGCTGCTCTTTTCCCTACTCCTCTTTCTTTCCTTCACTTCCTCTTCCCAAATACCATCCAAAAACATATGGAGGAAGGGTAGAGCCCTTACACAGACTGAACTGCTTTCCTTTCCAAATAAATACTCATAGGAAGCAATGCACAGGCATTTTCAAACTCATGTTCCCTTGCACTAAATTTTCTCTACACTAAATCCAATGAAAATTAAGATATATCTACTGTTGTTGCCAAGAATGCATACTCACGGTTCTGTTAGTGAAACACATCTATTTCACCAGCACTACAGATTCACACATACAGCATATAAAGTGGCACTATAATAAGTCTGATGGAAAGACTATTTTGTGTATGTAGGTGTGGGTTGTCCATGGAGACGCAAGAACCAAGAGCCATGGGGTCGCAAAGTCACAAAGAATCCCAGTGCTCACTGTAAGAAATAATTGTATTTGTCACTTCACAAACATTATAAGAAAAAAATGCACATGAAGGCAGCAATGGGGTTATAGTTACAAGGTGATAAATCAATGGTTGTACAAAGAAAGAACACAAAACTACTTAAAACAACCAAGTCTTTTAATTAGAAAGCAACAAACATGCAAATGGCAGGTATAGAAATTTATCTGAACCAACTTTATTACTATAATGAAAGTTACTTTAAAACATTGATCCAAGCTCCCACATCTGCAGGTTAAGGAAAATATTGCACTTTGCATCTTCTAGCACCCCTCATACATGGCAAAACATTTTAAAAACATTTTTGCTTATTTTAACTTGCACACTCTCCCAAAGTCATGCACACAGTCATTCAAAAACAAAAGGTTAGGTTATCCAAAAGCAATACCTCAGAATTGCACTAAAGCTCTGTAAGGAAAAATATAATTAATGTCTTATACAAATTCCATTAACGTCTAGGTGCTTGCACACAACTGCCAGTTACTCTTCATCTTCATTTTCATTCTCCTGACCAGATCCTTCTGATCTGTCGCCTTCCAATCGGTCTGTAAGACACAGAGATTTAGTAAAGAGAACTTCCAAAGTTTTCATTTCTTGGTAAATATTTATAACATGCTGTCTCCCTGGGCTATTACACGTTGGACAGTGACCGCAGGTTATACGGGAGAAGAAAGACCATATGGACTGGCAGCAGAGATTGGTTAGAAATGTTACCACAAGAAAGGAGAACAGGAGAAAAGCCCTAACGGATTTCCAGGCATAGTGTACAAAAGGAAAAACCTTGTAGCTGCTGAACGGCTGTCAGCACAGGGAAGGTGAATGCAAGCACAACATTAAAAAGAGATAGTGAATACAAGGGATTGAAACACTGCCCTGGGGAACTGAAACTAGAACAGCTGCGGTTAGAAACTTGTATACTCCAGAAAACTGGGGAATTGCTTTCTGTCACTGTACGCATCAGAAAAAGTACCTGTTGACATAAATGTTTACAGAAAGGCCAATACAGAAGTGTGCGAGGGAACATGACTGGCTCAAGATCACTCAAACAACATCCACCATCAAGTTAAGAAATACTTCACCCAGCAATAACACAGATTTTAGCTGAGGTTGTTTTAACTCAAGTGTTGGGCAGTTCTTTGAGTATTTTACTTCATAGAACTCAAAACTAAGAAAAAACCCAAACTTATATATTGAGTTACAGCAGTGGCAAGGCACAGCACTGGGCTGGATACAGTGTCATCTTCCTGGCTCTCTTGTTCTCACAGACCACCAAGAAGTGAAAGCAGAGCAGCAGCTGCTGCCAGGAAGAGCTTCCTTCCTGCTTCATCACTATAAGCCCACTGCCCTGCTAAGCCAGTGCCAGGGTCCTCATATTTAGTATCTACAGTCACTTTCACCTTCATCTACAGCTCTGTTACGTTTCCACCCCACATGTCATACGAGCCTCCCAAAACTTCATCTCCTGGCTTCCTACCCAGTATGATGTCTCTCCATTCTCCTACTCCTTCAATATCGAGCCACTGCAATTAACTGTCAGCATTAACATCCACGAACATCAGTTCCCTACAATGACTTTCCACACAAATCCCTCATATCACCAGTTTCAGCCCTGGGGAACTGCCCCTTCACTGAAGGGACATCCTAGTACCAGCTGCCCCAGAACAGCTGCCAGCAGCCTCATTAATATCTCCCACAGTCTTGTATCTTCATCCCCTCCTTCATCCCTAGACAATTCCAAGTCCACAATGACAGCCAGTTTATCTTGCAGCTCATTCCAGTCATCCCCAATAGCTTTCCAGTCACACAGTATTCACTGTAAGGACCATTCTTCAGTAAAGGGAGTATTTTTCAACATTACGCATTACAAATAAGCTATTTCAGGTATGGTAACATCTAAAAATATATTTTGTTCTTTTCTTGCTCTTTGTTTTAACGTAAAAAAGAACAGCTGCAAAAATGTTGCAAGTCTCACAGTAAAGAAGCAATTCCTAAGTACTTCCATTAAAAGACCCTTGAATCTTCTCACCAACCCCAAGTACAGCCCCAGACAGCTGAAGATCTTGATGGTTCCCCAGTCCATCTGCTATTTCCTAGACTAGTGTGGTAGACAAGCTCTTCAGAAGCCTCTCACCTGCTCTTATATGATTCAATGAAGCCAACATTCGTAACATAAAAGAGGCTGGAACAGTAATAGTGTTTCTGGTCTCTTCCAGCATTAATTCATTACGTGTTATAACCTGGAGGCAGAGAAGGGATACAAACAGCATCAACAATAAACACAGAACTGTACTGCAATGATATAGGTTTGTAGATAAAAAGTTCCTATGCAAAAGGCATTTACAGAGTCGAAAAGTACAATAAGGGAACAATACTTTAATAACTATTCCTAAAATGCAGTTACACCAATTGTCTGTGGTAAGAAAAGTCAGAGAGTGGACTGCCTACAGATATCTACCTGTCTATCTAAAGAATATTCTAGTAAGATCCTCATTCCGTTGTCCACATGCATGGAAGATATTAAGATGAGCAACTGAGAAAAACTCCTGGAAATGAGATCTTGCAAGAAACGAAGAGGAGCGATGAGAGAAAAAGCTGTTTCAGGTGGCAACTGCCATACAGAACAGAGTTCTAGCATCAGCTCTGGCCAAGAATGTGGGAAGGAAAAGAGACGAGGTGACCCTAAATTCCTACCTTCATGCTGCTTGGAGCTTCTGGAGAAAATCCACAGAACACAAGCAATTTCTTTATTCCAGTTCAGGAAGATTCTTCAGCTCCGTAATTCTTTCTAAACAGTTCTACCACCTGCCTCTAAATGACTTGAATGAAAGAGACAGCTCCTTCTGCCTTAGTTTCAAGGAAAAAAAAATCCACTATCCAGTACTTTCGGCTCTTTTGTCTCTTTTCTTCCATCCTTCTGGTACTTCCTTGCCATCCTTCTTGCTTTCTCATTAAGTTCGATTCCCACACTTCAGCTTGCCTCTCACCTTTAAGACTACGTTCCTTTGCTATCACTAAGTATAAAATTTCTTTAGGTGGAGACAAGTTCTGATTATTATTCAGTCCTTCCTCCCAGATCAGTTGCTGTAAGGCAGGAAAATAATGCATTTCTTCTCCTCCCTGAGACTCTTTCTCAGGCCTGTTCCTTTTGTGAGGAACATGTTCTTGCAAATGTCCGCAGCAGCCTGCTCCTGGCCAAATCAAAGTACCTCTTTTCTGCCATTCTCCTCTGCTTACCAGGCATTTTGCACAGCTGATCACTCCCTAAAAGGAGCAAACTGAGAAGACAGCAGGCTGCCATCTCTTCCTCTTTCACCTCCTAATTCTCCAGTGCACTGACAGCCTGCTTCTGATGCTTTTTCTCTATTAAGAGATTTGTTCCTATCCCCACTGTCTTTTCCTATTCACTAAAGTCATGGCCTCTCTCAGTTTTAAGTACCATTGTGCATCTATACTGAACTTCCTCCAAGCACAATGCTTTCTCCCTAAACCTTTGCTCCTATGAAAAATTCAGTTTAAGAATTGGATACTTCCTCTATCCAAATGTAACATGGTGAAAACTATTTTATTTCTATGAATCTCTCTTGTCCTTTACATAGGTATTTCAATACAGGGATTAAATTGAAAAACAAAACCATGTAAAATTACAAACCACACTGTGGCCAAACCTTCTGAAAGTTCTAAGTCTTTTAACTAAAGAAAAAAACCCTAAACCTCTAAATAATTTGTTCTTATTGAAAATTACGTTTCACAAGGATCAGTAAAACAATTGCTTTAAGCACACATTTATGTTTAGCAGTATTTCTAACTCCAAAAGGCTCCAAAACATGTCAGAGATTAAAACTATCATACAATATACAAAGAAGTATCGCTGCTTCATTCGGTGTTACTACTATTAAAATAATGGGGAAGGTTCAAAACTCACAAATGGGGGGGGGGGCACCAGGAGGATGGGTTGTTGGTGGCTAAGGGTTGTGGGTTTCTGTTTGTTTTAAATATATATAGCACTAATACAGAGAAATAATAATTTAAAAAACCCAGTCTACTATATAGCCTGCTGTCCAAGAGATTGCACAAATAAACACCCCAACCAAACAGCCCCACAGCCAAATTTGCCCCAATATATAACTTACAGAAAAGCATCTAACATTAAATAAATTACATTATGTAAATCACTAAAATATGATTATTCAGCAGTCAACTATAAGTTCACAACTATATGTTCAACTGTAAGTTGCTTTATACACTGTTACTGCTTAGAGAGTATGAAAATAATGCTACATAACTTTACATATGGACTTTTCTAATTGATTCGGCTTGCAACTTGCAATGTTTGCTTTATTCAATGAAGTTCCCAAGTTGCAACCTTAACCATAACCCCCTTTTATGCCACAGAATATCAACTGGAATTGATTTTTGCACTCCCTGTTCTTCTGTATACCATTGTATTTCCTTCAGATAATTTATTTGTTTAAAGACAGGCACTGCCTTAACATCTCAATTCCTGCCAGTTTTCTTCTCTATCTGACTGTTCATACTTTTTCCAACTTCTTTCACATACATAATACCAGATCATATCATATAATTTCTAGGAGAGTTAACGAAATACTGCCAATGATAGGAAAGTTAGCTACTCTAAAGAGCAGCTTTTTATTTGTAGCTTATTTGTTGAACATTAAAAACTTTGTTAATTCAATGTCAGTAATTTGCACCAAAGGCTTTTAAAGAACTGGAAGATTCAACATTACTCTGAAAAAGGAGGAAAGGTTCTTACCTCATCTGCAAGTTTCCTGTTAAAAATCTTGGATTCTTCCAGTGGTGACCAAATTTTTATATCATAATCAATACCCGAAGAAGCCAGAACTAGAAGTAAGTAATAGTAATTTTAAATTAAATGTGTGATGCCTTTACCAGTATCTTCTGCACTTAACTGGAGTTGAAGAAAACTACCTTATTTGAAGCATTTACTTGCAAATGTCATTTCCCATGTTGAACATACAGCTACATAATTACTAAGTCTTCATTTAAGATCTGAACCATAGGTTATACACTGTACCTTTTTTAATATGTATAATATTATTTAATATGAAAACACAAACATCAAGAGCCTCCTTTTCTAAATAAAAAGTGCACCGGAATATACGTAAGATAAGAGCAGAAAGTAAGAACAAGCCTTCCTGCCACTAATATAATTCTGCTGACAGTCTGATAAGTATATGCATTAATAACAAAGCCTTAGGATTTGCAGACCCAGAAGCAAAGATAGAAGCAAGAAAATTTCAAATGTATTTTGATATTTGATAATTTCACTGTATGTTATGTAAATTTATTTTATATTCAAATATAAAGAAGCAACGGATGCTCTTATAAACACTTGTTAAAATATGGAAAAAAAGAAGTTGCAGAATATTCTCTAGATCATGACACAGAACAACTACAAAAAAAAATTCCATAGGAAGCTCTCAGTAACTGGAAAACTGTACAAGATTAACTGTCCTACAAGAAAGATGACCTCTTTGTTACGTTTTCAGTATGTGACAGGGAGACAGCTGCACTCCATCGAGAAATCAGTAAAGCTACAGGGCATTTGAAATGTACTTCCAAAAGGAGTCCTGAACCTAGGACAAGTGTCCAACCTAGTCACACACTCTGAACATGTAGAGGAACACAGTTTCAATTAAGCATTTAAAAGTTCACAGCTTATGCAATGCAGGGCAGTATTCCATACACTGTATTTCCACAAATTGTCCGAAAACCCCCCATCCTTTTCTGGTATTATTATAACAACTTTATTTGTTTATTTATTTATGTCTGACTGTTACTCTACAGCTATGTGAGCTACAAAAAAAGAAATAACACATTTAATGGATTGAGGGAAGAGATGGAGATTCTTCTTATTACATCTTAACTTCCTTTAAATACTATGTCAGTAACATTTTCATTCCAAGACACTACTGAGTAAGGGCCAAAGGTCATTAGTAAAAGACAAAATTGGAAGCAATATTATCTAATTTATGTTGGGAAAAAAGAACAATAGCTCATTAATCATTATAATGCTCTACTGACCAAAGAATTTAAACTGAGATATTAAAATGCTTTACTACTGGTAAGCTGAACATGAAATGACAATCTTACTTGGGTCAAACGGATGAGGCTGAAGACAGTTCACCACATGATTATCAGCTTCCAGCAGCATGAGATGTTCAGCAGTATGTCGATCCCATATGAAAATATGGCCACAGTCTGAACCACTCATGACAAAGTTAGATCCCCAAAAATTGGCTTCTTTTATCTGCAGTAAACATGAAAATTATAAGGCTAGCTAGTGGAAAGCACAACAAAGAGTAGACTCCCATTTCTGCAGTAACACTGCCTCTGAAGTAAGAGCTCTACATTTGCAAAAACAACATTTAAGAAAATTTAAAGGATACAGTTAATAAAGAATGATCCAAAAAATAATCCAGAAGGTTATAGATCTCCACAGCAAAGTGGCTGCTAATAATAAATAGGAAGTGTTGGGGCAGACCGAACAGTCTGGAAATAAATGACAGCAGATTTGTCACTTTCCAAAGTGACAGAAATGACACTGGAGACAGAGGTGTGTGAAACAGCTTTTGGGAAGAGCTGGGTAAATTAACATGTGTGACAGGTTAACCCCCGGCGGGCATTTTCCATTTAGGGCAGATGAGGAGATGAGACAGAGGTTTATGATTTGATGGGGGCTGGGAATTCACTGGGTCTGACAGTTAAAAAGGGGTTATGAAATCAATAATCAATCGCGTAAGAACTTAGACTTCTTAGTGCAAGGCCTAAACTAAAGTTATAATCCACTGAACAAGGAAAGCAGCTGGATAGAAGCGACCTTTCAGCTTCACTTAGTACAGTAATTGTAGATGAAAGTAGAAGCATCTCTCCCTATAAGTGGAACAAACAATATCATCATTTTCTTGATGCAGCAATGATGCATTTTATTCTATATGGTTGTTCCTACCATTACTTCATTGAGGTATCCAAGCACCTTTGCAAAACGTTTGAAGTGGTATGGCTAACGTTTGTCACTTATCAGCAATGTTCCCATGCTATCAGCAAACAGTACATGTAATACATGGCCAGCATGGACTTTTTTAATGCACATGTTGCTGTGTATAAATTTAGAGAGCGAGGTAAAGCCTATCTCGCATAGGCAGTGAGTTGTTGGAGGGCCTACAGTTCACAATGAATGACATCTTAGGCCAGTTTATGGAATTTTACTAGCATCACACAAATTATACCAGTTTTTAAATCGCTCATCAGAAATTATAATTGGTTTATCTTTGGTTTTGGCCTACAGCTAACTCCTCTAACTGTTATTTATCATAGGGTAGTTTGACTCTGGATTATAACCAACTATAATTAAAACATTCAAGGAAGACTTCTCTGATTGGAGAACTGTACACTTGAACATCTGTATATTGTACATTTGAAGGAAGAAATTCTATACCTCTGAAAATAACATGGTAATATTTTTATTAAAAAGATGCACAAATTACTTAAGACTTTTTCAGAAACTGGAAAAGATGAGAGGAATATCACAAACATGGCATTGCAATTTGGCACATCTGTGAGTGAACACAACTGGGCCACTGACTGAAGGGTATTGAAGAAAGTTCCATGGTTCTTGAGAAGGCTTCCAGAAAACCAGTCACCTCAGACCACAGCTGTATAGTTTGTCAGTGAAGTAACACAGACAACCTGCAGTTGGGCTTTTCCCTTCTGGCAGCTTCTCCAGGAAGCTGACAGCACTAAGGGAGGCTGATGGAAGGCCTCCCTTGGTGCAGGGGGACCGTCTTGGCACAGACGGCAAAGGCTTCCTGTCACATTCTGCCTTTCTTCCCCTGCCACCAACGCAAGCCTTCTCTTCACCCAATGAAGAGAGGAACAACATCATCTGTGTAAAAGGAAAAGAGGGGGGTTTAGGGAACAGTCTGCTCATGCTTTAGGCAAATAGACTAAATAAAGATTTATTACATCATCTATTTCCCTTATGTGAAATGCTGTAATTCAGTAGGTATTTAAACCTACTCTCTTAAGTGTCATAAATATTCATAGTCTCGTCTGGATATGCATCTGCTAGCAACGCTGTGAACATTTCTCTACTGAAGTGACCATCCCTCCCCTCAAAATGGCTAGACTGTCTTGCCCCTGATTGTGAGAATAGAAGAAAATAGCAGACATTGTCACTGACAAGATAGCTAGCTTGACATGTACTCTACTTGAAAAAGTCTTTGGGAGAAAAGCATATCAATAAACCTGAAACTTTTTCTTTTCTTTGTTTCCATCCTTCTCCCCAAAACATGGTATTATCATGGGATTATGAGAATAACGTATTATTTCATAATCATTTACACATGTTACTTATATTTTTGTATGGATTTATATATTATTTCTATTAAAACATACTATTTTAATTTCTTAGATGTTATTTATTTATAAATAATTTACTTGTGTAGTAAATGCTGCACTATTTATTGTGTGTTTACTAATTCAGTGTGAAAACCCAGGCTCCTTGAGCATTTCACAGATCTGCATGAGTTTTGGAACTGAATGTGGCTGAAGCAGTGTGTCCTATGAAACAGAGCAGCATTACAAAAACAATGATGGTATAAAAGACACAGAAATGGCAGGCCAGAAAAAGTGGCTGTAGTATTAGCTAGCTATCTCCTTAAAATACAATGTTGATATTATTCTACACCCATTACATTCAAGATACCCTTCTGATTACAGCCTGAAATAATGTGGCTAATACAATTTCTGAGCCAAAAAAGTATTGAGTATTTATTTCAAGAAGCAACTATTAAGTTGGTTAAACGTAATCTTTCCATGCCAAGATCTATCTTGCCCTCCCTTCTTAGAAAGATGTAACCCAAACAATTGGTCTGAGCGAAGAAGAATGGGTGACTTCCTTCACTAACAATTAGAATCTTCTTCAGAAATAATTTCTATTTTTACTCAGAGTAGGACATAAAAATAACCATTGTTAAGCTGTTTAAAAGAGGAACAGACTAAACAGCAGTATCCTCCTCCATTGCTGTCCTATATCAGCTACAGGGTGAGAGGCTAGATGAGGTGGCAGAGGGAGGAGGCACATTGCTTCAAGAACCGTCAAAACAGTCCAAAATGCGAGCTGAAAGCTCCACAGAAGTCTGATATTTGTGCTGGAGAGTCTGGAAGTTGAAAATGTAATCCAACACACAAGATTACACTTCAAACAGTTACCAGTACCTCTCACGATCTCTTTAAATTGGCATAAACTGGGCAAGAGAGATACCTATGTAAACAGAAGTTTCCTATGCAGCAGCTTTCACAGTTCACACAGACGTACAACGTTTGAAGTTTAGCATAAAGCAACTTCCTAATCTTTGGTATTTAAGAAATCTCTGGCATAAGGGAGAGAATTGAGTTTGAGACCATTTACACAGAACTCTACTAGGGAATTATTTCCTAAGTAACACTGCATAATACAGCTCTAAAGAGGACAGTGCCTGCATCCTTATCTTTCTTTCTGCACAGTTTTCTCAGCACATGCACTGAAGAAAAGGACAGAGACATTGTCTTGCTCTGTGCTTTGCCCCAGCTATTCTTGATTTAAAAATCGTCACGAGAAAGAATCATATTATTAAGCAGAACCCTTACTGCTGTTAAAATATGTACTTGATCTCCAGCATGAGTATGCCCAGTTTTAAATTTCAGGCTTGCTAGATTTTTGTCTACAGGAAATACATACCAGTGATTTCAGTCAGTGCAATAAAGTCATCCTGATGTCTAAAAATAAGCCACAGAAACTGCATTCCTGATTCTGTAGTGAAAGATGTATTTCCAATACACTCATCTTTTGGCAGCTTTGTCTCACAGCTCCTCTTGCTGTATATTTTTCATTATCCCGTTAGAAGTACATCTAAAATATCTCTAATGATAAATAACTTTATATTTCAGTTCTCATTTACAACTTCTTCCTGCTTCCTTTGTATTCTCTTACGTAACTACTGATTTTACATTTCTAATATTCATAAAACCAAATTTTAGCACCACGTAAATAAACAGATTTGAAATTATATTTTAAAAATTTTGTTTTCAAACTCATAAACACACTCACTTCTACTATACCCATACACCCTTATCCCATTCATCTGTTACACAAAGATGCTCTGTTGAAGAAAAGTTTCTTCAGAGTCTACATTTTAAACAGAGGATTTGAGGTGAGCGGGACACCAGCCCACATCCCAAAGAAACCAAACAACAAAATCCGTGACATAATCTGTGTGACAACACATACGAAGATGCAGGCTGAATTAAGACGACTTAGGCAAGCTTAGTCTTAGTATCTCTTAACTACAAATTGCTTCATGCTATGACTTCTAAACTAACGTGGTTTTGAGCAATTAAAATTAATTTCTGAAATACAGTGCAAAACTCAGTCATTATTCTAAGTCTGTTGCTTATGTAGACTGTAATGGGCATTTATTGAAGCATTCTCCTCAGTGTCATCAAAGCCATTCGTGCAAACTCTAGAAAACGGCTTTTGGAGGTAGAGGGACTACTCCTTAGATCATCTGCAAAATAATACACCTGCTGCTTCTACAAAATACCATCTAGTACTCAGAACTTCACATCTTCAAAATATGGTAAAAAGCAAAAAAAGAAATGGCAAGGAAAACAGCATTTGTTTCTCATGCACCACAGCTTTACAAACACAGTAACTGCATTCTCCTTAAAATACAGTATTTTGTATGAGAAAGACAGTATCTAGTAGTTAGACTATGATTTAGTAACTAGCACTATTTCCTTTTTTTATAATTCAGAGATGTCAAGGCTCTTGAAAACTATGATTTAATCCTCATTTTGCCTTCCAAGCTGTTCAAAATTATTATTTAATCTTTAATGTTAAAGAGCTTGTAAAGCAAAGTGAGGATTAAATCCTAATTTTGAAGGCAGGCACATTTTATACCACTGAAGATGACAGACAAAATGAAAAAGAAGTTAAGAAAAATACCCAAGTTTTCAAAGGAAGTTAAGGGGAGAGAGTTTTAAACCCAAGAAAACTTTAATGCCTAGCATGGTGACACATGAGTGACACTAATTTTAGTTTTCATTTAGAGCAAGTTGTGTGGCTTCCAACTGAATATAAAAGAAGAAAAGTGCTTGTGATATATTATAGTATCCTTTTTGGCAAGCATGTGGCAGCTACACTGATTGAGACCATAAAATCTCCAGGGTTCCCAAAACAGACAAAGAGTTTGTACCATTGTTCGGGAGTTCCGATGACCTTTATAAACCATCTTTATTAAAGGACGTCTAATATTCAACGTTTCCAGTTCTTCCATTTCTTTTCTTTCTTTCCTCCTCCTGAAGAGCTCCTGAATGCGGGCAACAGCAGATCGTCTAAAAATTGCAAACAGAGAACGCTATTGAGAGTCCATCTCTAAATACTAAAATGGGCCATCAAGAAAGACTTTAAAACAATAATTAGGCACTCAAACACACTATCCATAAGTTTGGAACAGACATCAACATTATCCCAAATGTAAAATTACAGACTAACTTTTTCCATCCTGGCTTAGAACAAGAATAGCATGCAAGACAGGGGTATGCCAAGTGATGCCAGATTTTATTCCCCCTCTGAAGAACAAACTTCAGCTATTGGCAAAATTCACATGCTATTTTATTCTTCAGTGCTGGAGGTAGCCTCCAACCATAATGTGGTAGCAAAATTCTGAAGTGAAAAATGTATGCCAAAACAGAAGTTTTATAAGTTTAAAGTTATTAAGGATCTAGTGCACCTTCCAGCGTGATGTGGGTTTTCCTCACAATTTTGTTAAATGTGTTTCTGTTCACTATTTCTATATGCCAAGACTCAAGATTTAGACAGCTTTGAAAGAGTTCTACTAAGGCAAGAGTTGATTTGAGATCGATTATGGTAGCAACTATCCTATACATTAGCAGTGAGGGATACAGCTGAAGCTTTCCCAGCATAACGAATTAAAAATAGCTAAATTGTCTATTTAGTTTTGTGAATGTTTAATCCCAGGAATCTACTTTTTGAATTATCTGTGAAAAGACCTTGGTGCCAAATTTTTCCTGTTTAGCTCTTAAGTTTGCAGATCCCCCTAATTCCAGCTATAACCAAACCGTCACATCCCAGCACCTGCACCTAACTCTTTTTCTTCTTCTATTCCATGTCAGGGTTGCATAGAGATCCTGAACACAGTCCAAGGGGAATGTCACTCCCAAGAAGGAGCAGGTACAGGTTTTAGCAGGATGCAAGGAGACAAACTATTACAGGAATTTCTATGATCCTGAAAAGTAAACCGAGCCAGAACTGAATAGATTTGCAACCTCAGTACACTGCTACCAGAAAGCTAGTAAACTGAATTTGTCCACAAGTAATGTGGTATGGTGTTTCAGCCACTGATCCTGGGAACTCTTGCAATTAAGTCCTCTTTTCCAGAAAAAAACCCCACCAGATCCATGTCATAACTAATTCTCTCAGCCAGTGGTCTGCTTAGATTTTCATTTCATTTTTGTCATAGGAGAAAGTTGGACCAAAAAAATTAAGGCGAAGTGTTATCCTACAGCTAGGCAGAGAAGGAAAATAAATGCAAATAATGAGTCATTAATATAGATTTTAAAAAAAACCCCAAAAACCAAAAAACAAAACAAACCACAAACTGTCATACTGATCATCTAATTAATTATACTAGATCACCTAATACAGGTAAGCTTTTAAAAGATATTTTAATACTTATTTTTATAGAAACTAGAAAAGATTTGTAAGCCCTAGCTAATAGATCCACTTAACTGTGGACTATTTATTATAATACATAATAAAAAATAGACTACTGCTACTTCCTTTGTGAGAGTTTTCTATCCCCTCAAAATCTCATACCTATGCAATCTTCTAGTTCCTCCTTCTTATGCTACACTAAGTATACTGTATTTATTAGTTAGCCCTAATAATATATGGAGTGTCAAATTTAACAGATTTAAGAAGACGATTCTTCACAAAGTCTTTATACAATGGAGGGGATAAAAAAACCGAAGTCCATATTCTTTGTCTACTGTGCTTTAAAGATCACATAATTATTCTCCTCACCAGTTTACTTCTATGTGAAGGAAAAAGAAAGGTGGCATGTGTATGACTGACTACATAACACACAAACTTTAAACAATTATTTGTACACTTTGCATTCGCTTTTAGAAAAGATGGGTTTGTGTAAGAAAGTAAAAGCAAGAAACATGAGATACCAACTACTCTGCTACCAACCCCATCAGTGATCACACAGCTTTGGGAACAACACATACAGCTCTTCAGTACAGTAAGATCCTTTGACCCTTTTGGTTTCAGCAGCATGCCTGCTAACCTTACACTTATCACTTACTATGATTGCTATTTGTATTTTCAGTGTATTTTTCCACATTAATTAAATAATAAAATACGTGCAGTGAAAAAGCGAAGGAGTTAAACAACATTAGGATTGACAAAGCAGTAGACTTGTCTAGCTCTTTCACAAGAGTTACTTGCTAGATAGCAGTCTTGGGATCCGAAGATGGCATTAAAGTAACTAATTGGTAACCTAATGTAGTTTCTGGCATAATTTTTCATCTAAGCATCTCTAGTAAAATTAATCTCCTCCTCTAAATTCCCCGAGGCTTGAATACAGACATTCAAAAAACCCTCAAGACTATTCAGCAGTGAGAATCACGCATTTTTAAATAAAAGCAGAAGCACAAAGCAACTTCTGGTAAAAAGTATTTACTGAGTAAACTCAGCTGTGAATTTAAAATCCTGATTTTGGGTCTTATTTTAAAAGGTATGAATAGATTGATATTTAATTATCTTGTAAAGTAAATGATTATCTTCAACAGGAGAACACAGCCCAGCACATGTATAACTGTGGTATATTATCATATAACTGTGAAACTGTTATCAGGCACTCTAGTAACATCCTGCTAAAGGCAAGAACCTGGCAGAGGCAAGTCTTCTCCAGAAAATACAAATACATTACAGGAAAAAGGATTCTCTCTGAGAAGTACAACTTTTCCATAACTACAGATTTTCTATACTTTTAAGTCAAAAAAAAAACCCCAAAACCAAACAGGTAAGAAATCCAACATATTTGGGTTTGTGGCTTTTTAATTTTCATTCGTTTTTATGACAAGCAATTGCTGTCTCTGCCAACATCAGCTTAGACAATAGACTTATCACTTGGAGCATCAGCAGATACTGAAGCACACTAGGCAGTCTGTACTGTTCTGAAGTTCAGCCTAAGCTAAGCCTGACTGTGAGCTGCTGCTTCCCTTCCAAATTGCGTACTCTTCCAAGCACGGAATGCCAAAGAATGAAATCTATGCACATTGCATCAGCACTCCTCAGGCAACTCCATCAATTGACATAACTGGATTATGTATTCATACTCAGGCATCAGATAATGAAGATGCCTGGGAAATGCTTAAATTAAGTCTTAGATGAATGGAATAAGGATTTACAAGTGAAACCATTATCTTCTTTCAACTAAACATAGGTTGAAAACCCCACAAAAAAAAAAACAACCCCACAAAATCCCTGTGATGCATGCTGATCCACAGCTATGTATTATAGAGAGAAATGGAAAAGATGTAAACATGTAAGGTAAGCCTTAAAAAAAATAGTCACATAAGGCATTTTCTGTATGTTTAGAAATTCTGAAGTGTAATAAGGATTAAAAAAAAACAACCAACAAACCAAAACCCAACAAACTAAAACTAACTACAATGCAATTTGCACAATTAAATAACTAGTTTCTTAAAGCACGGTATGTCACATTGCTCTTTAAAAACAAATTTCTGAGAGAGAGCACGCTGCAGGCCTCAGTTCCGAAGCTATGTTACCCAGAATTTCTGGCTAACTAGCCCAGCATGTTTTAAAACAACTATGATCATCTACTAGTTAGAAGAAAGAAGTCAAATTTACTGGTAAGGTTTTCAATAGAAGGAAAACCGAACAGTTATCCATCAACTGAATTTGTAAATAATCTACAGGAATTTGGCTACAAACTTTGTTCCACCAAAGGTCCAGATG